AGATGAACATCATTGTTATCTTCAGTAAAGCTACTAAAAAGTGCCAAAGTTCCACCTTCGTATCACGAGGGAAGAGCTGCACAACCATCCTATCAGAATGGTAGCGAGAATCGGAATGTCAATAATACCTCAATTTCATGATGTTAAATCTATGAACGAATCTTTACTGCTCTTCTACAAACAGAAAGGCTTCTCGGTTTTCAATTCTGAAAAGAAAAGTAAGATGATAAAAACCTTTTCAGCCGTTCTATTACTCAATTGCAGAAAAGCAAAAGTAAAGGTTTCAAAATTTAAAGTCTTAGATAATTGGAGAGGTTTTAAAGCATCCTCGACTAAGAATCAGCTGCTTCACAACAAAATCCCAGTTTCAACAAATTCACTGCATCTAATTGCTCGGAACTCAAAGACGACATGGCAGTGCACCTTTTCGCAGCCCGTATCGTTTCCGAGAGTGCGAAGCAAATTGGAATCGCAAAATGAAACTTGCTTCGTCACTTTCGCACGGTAACGTTCTCTCTTGGAGGCGTTTTGGTTGCAGCGCTTATACAGTGTGAAATGCACACAGCACTCTCCGTATAATCAATACAGCGTGAGAGTTGGCTCGCCTCGAAGGGACAATAATATGAAATGGGAAAAGCAGGGAAATTGTGCAAGCATCAGGAAAAGTGTAGTCGAGCAGGAAATTTTCTAAGAATCGGGTAGGAAAAAATGAGAGTGGAGACTCCTCTGACGTACTGCAACTGGAAGGAAGCAAGCTTCAAAGAAATCCTCTGATTGTTTGTATGTAAACAACCATAAACAGATTGTCGAGATACAGATCGATATCACAACATGGCGGTAATCAATTAATGAACTGATACGCTAAGCGCGGCAAGGACACTCGATTAGCGGTCAGAAAACGACGAACCGACGAGGCAAGAAAAAAATGCAACCACTCCAAAGATATCGTCTCAACCAGCTACCATTGCATGCACATATGTGCATCACTATGACCCTCCTCCCTGACATATCCAACAAAAACAGAAAAAAAAAACGCAAGATTAGTTCAAGTACCTCAGCTGCCGTAGACTGATGACAGTGCGAAGGACTGGACGCAGATTGTCGTTGCAGTGCCAGTTGCAGCGACTGCTGCGATACATTGTTGTTTACTGGAGATGAGGACAACAACGGTTTTGGACTTTCGCATGCGACCGATGCCTGGAAAAAAGTGTTTGCGATAACGAATTCAATGAGTTAAAAATGTTATGTCCTGCTCCCTCACACCTCTGAAATAGACGATTGTGGAGCGATCAATACATTTCGCTAACATTGGAAAATTATGAGTTGCTATCAGAAAACCACCACATTGTGGATGATCAACACACATTTGAATACTGCCTTGAGGATTCAAACGAGCATATGGAAAGTGAGGACAATCAACAGAGTTGACAAGCGTACGGCCTTCCTTTAAGATATCTGGTAGATGAGAGGCTGTGTATTCAAACTAACCGGGATGTGGACAACGGGAAATTCAGGAGACGAGGCGGAGGTGTTCAGTTTGCATCGTACAATGGGAGTAGGTGTTTCCCTAAAGAAGCAGCTATCAGTTAGCAGCACATCACCATGCCCTATCATTCTTACCTTGATTGTGGTGCGTCCTCTATGCGACCGTCGAGCGCGTCTGAGATAAACGTGCGCAAGGTCTTTAGCTCTCGCATAATTTCATTTTTATCCTCGTCCTTTGAGAGTAAGGCTAGCGGCAATATGGTGAGATCAGTAGCAGCAAACTGCATCTGTTCTTCTCTGGTCACAAGTAAATCATAGAGGTCGAAGACGTCTTCCGGTACAGGCGACTCATCAGCCACTTTCGAGCAAAGGATGTTCCTTGCCTCAGCTATAGCCGTCTTGGGGAAGTACTCTGCGACAAGACTGCGAACTTGTGGATTGCCGCGGAAATTATGGATAAAGCAGAGGAGTGAATTGACAACAACCGGCTGATGGTTCATGTCGAGGCGAAGGCAAGAGAGGCTCGTCGTTGTAAAGTTTGGTCTCAGCGATGGTGCATGGGCGCGCCGTGAACTCGCTTTCGCTCTGCTCCTTATCGTCGCCGATGCCTGAACGAGAATATGCGAGTTATCAGTGTCGGGTTATCAGAGGGATGTGAGAGGCGCACGGAGGAGGACCGACTAGCACACTGAATCGCAAGTGAGATGAGTGACTTGAGGAGCGGTTATCTCGCGGCGACGGTGCGCAAAACGCGACGTTCGACTACGGATTCCGCCGACTGCCACACCACGCCCCCCGGGGCGTACCATACGAAACTCATTTACATATCAGCGAGAATCACAGTGCGAC